TAGACTCAAGTAGTTTTCCCTTATGCATATGCAGATCAGTACTTAGGTAAAGACTTAAGGGAACCTTTCTGTGGATCTCCTTAATTTTCTCTTTGTGTAGTTACCTCATGTCTGGAATTTTGTTTTGAAAATTCAAAGTGGTTTGGCTTCTTTAAAGTCTAATATTTATTCTCTCAACTCAGTAAGATCACCAGACTCTCTTTGTGATCCCCCATTGTTTCCTGTGGCTAGGCCATTGCCTCTAGGCAGTGTGCTCAGACAATCATAGACCTTACTTTGTTTCTCTTTTCTTCAGACTCACAGTCTTATGCTATCACAGGATCACAGTCCTATGCTACTTGTTAACCAGTGTGTGTAAATCATTTTTCATATATTTTTTCTGGTTTTTGAATTGTTTATGTAGGAAATTCAGTGATTTCAACATTATTCATCATGGCCCAATCAAGAACTCTTGGTATATTTGGGGCATTTTTTGCTTTTGATTTTTAGAGTATTATCCTGAGTTACTTTGTATATTCATGTATCTGTTCTCACCACTGTCTTTTCTCTTTACTGACCTACTTTTGAATCAGCTATTTACTTTTTAATAAATTGGGAATATGATAAAGCACACTACCAAATTATAAACAAAATTCATGCATATGAAAATAATAATATACAATATGATAAGAAAATATGCTTTTTCTCTGAGGTGACCTATATTTTGTTTCTTTGATTGTTTACTGAAACCAACTGATTGCTTAAAGTATTTACATATTTCCAAATGCAAAAATAAGAATAATATGATAATGTGAATCATAATTAATCTTCCATTTCAAGTTTGTCTTTTGTTTATGAACAAAATTATTTCCTTAATTTTTCATCTAAAACTAGCATACCACTTGTGAATTTCTTGATTGAACTACCAAGGACTAAACTGGAGAAACCCATAGATATTAATAGCATGTAAGGATGTACATTTTGGTGTTAGATCTGTGTCATTGCTCTTATACTTCTAAAAAAATTTTTTTTTTGCTATTTGAGTAAAATATACTGTATTTTATGATAAATTGCTGATTACTATTAATAGTAAGTTAAACAAATATATTTTTCAAATAAACTTTTTATTTTGAGATAATTATAGATTCATTTACAGTTGTAAGAAATAGTAACAGAATGATTCTGTGTACTCTTTTCACAGTTTTTTTTTTTTTCGGTAGTAACATCTTGCAAAAATGTACAAAATCACAACCCTGGATATCAACATCAATCCTCTGATTTTATTCAAATTTTCCCAGTTTTATTTATATATATATATATATATACACACACACACACACATACATACACATGTGTGTGTATTTAGTTCTGTGCAGTTTTATGCAGTTTTACATGTGTTCTTTCATGTGTCTGCCACCACAGTTAAAATACAGAACAGTTCTTCCACCCCAAAGGTCCTTCATGTTGTCCTTTAAGACCACACTCACCTCCCTTCTACCTTAGCCCTTCTTGTACCTCAACCCAGGACAACTACCAGTTTGTTCTCCATTTCTATAATCTTGTAATTCCAAGAATATTGTATAAATGGGCCATTTACATTTAAGGTAATTTTGATATGCTAATGCCTAATTCTTATATTTTATTTGTTTTCTGTTTGTTTCCTGTTTCTTGTGCCTCTGTTTCTTTTCACTTGCTTCCTGTGGTTATGTGAATAATTTAAAAAATTTCATTTTGATTTACTTATAATGTTCTTGAGAGTATTTCTTTCTATACTTAGTGGTTTTTCTGGGTATTAAAATATACATATGAGACTTATCACAGCCTAGTGGCATCAACATTTTACCATCTCAAGTGAAGGGTGGAAACTTTGCTTTCATTTACATCACTCTATCTTCCCCATTTTTAAATATCATTGTCTTAAGTATAAGATGGTGTTATAATTTTTGTTTTCATCATCAAATATGATTTATAAATCTCATTAGAAGCAGTCTATTTTGTGTACTTATATTCATGCTCAATTTGTTGTTGTTACTTCTTTCCTCCAAGATTTCCTTCATTTCTCGTTGAAGAATTTCCTTATTTAGGGACAGACCAGCTAATGACAAATTCTTTTAGTTGTATTAATATATGAGTTTTTTTCTTTCTTAGTCTCTGAAGGATAGTTTCACTGGAGGTGTAATTCATATTTTATAGTTCTTTGTTTTTTCCCCCCAGCACTTGAAAAATGTTGTGCTACTTCCTTTATGTCTCTGTGGTTTCAGATGCAAAATCCACTGCTATTAAAATTGGTGTTTTCCTACAGGTCATGTGTCATTTTACTATGGATGCTGTCAAGACTTTTTCTTTGTCTTTAGTTATTAGAAGTTTAATTATGATGTGTATCGGCATGAATTTCTTTGGGTTTAACCTGTTTGGGGTTTGCTTAGTTTCTTGAATCTGTAGGTTTATGTATTATACAAAATATAGAAGTATTTGACTATCACTTGTTTAAATACTCTTTTAAATCCTACTCTCTTTTTCCTCTTATTCTGAGATTCTGATGATATGAATGTTGTTGTGTTGTTTGTTATTGTCCCAGATGTCCTTGAGTCTCTGTTCACTTTTTTCCAAGTCTATTTTCTCTGATTTTTAGAATGGATAAGTTTTATTGATCTAGCTTCAAGTTCAGAAGTTCTTTTCTCTGTCATCTTTCCTCTGCTGTTGAACCTATCTAGTCAGTTTTTGTTATTGTAGTTTTTTTCACTCACCCCACCCCCTGAGAATTTGTAATTGCTTATTGGAATATTTTTATCATGGCTCTTAAAAATTCTTATTATATAATTTCAACATCTGATTTATCAGTCAATCTTTTCTCATTCAAGTTGTGATTTTCCTATTCTTGGTATGCAGGTGTTTTTTGATTATATCTTGATATTTGGCTTTTATATTGGAAGTCTCTGGGTCTTATTTAAATCTTTTATTTTAGCAGGCAGTCATCTAGTTTGGGTTTAGCATTCAGGTCTTATGGTGAGATCTCTCTTTCCAGTCTTAAGCCTTGTAGGAAAGGGAAGTGCTTTCCCTGTGTGCTTATTATAAGTAGTGTTTGGTGGGTTCCTCTTGCTAGTGCTGCTAGGATCTCCTGGCATTGTCCATGGGACTCCTCAGGAGCCTACCCGAGTCATCTTTTTGTTTCCAGGTTGGGCGTAGGAAAATGCTGGATCATTGTAGCTAGATCTTCCCTCCCTTCTGTTGAGGGAGGAGATGTCATGAAACAACCATCCTCTAGTCCCTAGGGAGTTTTCCTTTCCTTTTATACCTTTCAGAATTATTCTTTGATTGTTTCTTGCACTATTTCTATACTCTATGAGGAGGAGCAGGGGGAAATCAGTTTACACTATCTTGTCCCACATACTGACTTTTAAACTTTTGATATGTTATTTAATTTTCTAACTTTAAAATTTTCAATTTCCTTAGTTGTAATGAAGTGATAGCAATAATGTACCCCTTAAATGAGATGAGGTATTTCCTGAGACATAGTATGTGTTCTATTAGATAATGATGCTGGTGATGTTTGCAACATTATTTATTGCATCATTATTTTTAAGAGCAAATTGAAACCAAAATGAATAACAATGTAGAGTTTAAGTTTTAAATTATGTATCATGAATACAGTGGAATTTAGCTACAATAAAGTAATAAATGGGACATGGAAGGGTGGTCCAAATGTTTTGTTAAGTGAAAAAACAGTTGCAAAATATTCTTGGGGAGTAAAAATATATATATATATACACACACACATATAAACATATATAGGTAAATCATGTACTTGTGTTTTGTATTTATATACTGAAATATTCAAAACTATAGGTTGAAAATAGTCTGAATATAACAAATTGTGAAAAATACCTCTAGACAGTGGGCTGGGGGAGAAAGTAACTTTCTCTTTTACATTATATACATTTTATTCAATATTTTTTGGCAAGGAGCAAGTTTTTCTTTGTTAAAACGATAATGAATAAAAATTTAAAAAATATTTAGTTCGGATATATATGTATAGATTTAATAAGTGGTTAAAGATATTAAACTATTTCTGATAAGTTATTATTTACTTAATTCTTCATTGAATCTGTGGTAGGAAATGAATCTCTTGTAGCTATAGGAAACAGAATGGGATTTAATACAGGCAATTAATCACAAAAGTGTTAAAAGGCCAAGGGGAAGGGATCACTTAGAAATCTGAAAGCTGCTATATGCCCAGGCTGCGGCCTTTGATCACATTTGCCACTAAGCTACTGAAGGTGCCAATTCTGCTACTGAGCAGGAGATACTCCTGCTAAGTGTTATTAATATAAAGCCACCACTGCCATTACCTACCATAATCACCTGCCTGTTCTTGCCACTAGAGACAAAAGCAGAATCTCTCCCCCTCTTGCCTTTTAATCTCATACTAGTACTTCTATTGGTGGAACCTAATAGTAACACAGTTGTCAGGAGAGTCTTGGAATTTAATTTTTAAGTTTTCTTCCTCAGCAATACAAAGGACTTTACCAAAGGGAAAGTGGGGCCTATAACCAAGAAATAAAGGACAGGCACAGTGCTAAAATTGTGTTCAGGCAATCTTAGGTTGTTAAGGGCAGTGCTTATATCATTTTTATTTTTATAATATCAGTGACTAACCCAGAGTCTGTCACAAAATATTTGTTAAATATTTTTTCAGGGTTATTTATGTAATGTATGTAAAAATAAATTTTTCCTTTTTTTTCTCTTGTACACACAAAATACTGACTTTTCAATATTTCAGAGTTTAATTTTATCTATAGATAAAATTGTTCATCTATGGAAGAAGTTGTTACTCAGCTTCAACCCCAGCACCTAACCTAACACATATTTAATAAGTGTATATTGATTAAAGGAATATTAGGTATAGTATATTTACTCATTAAAATGTATCATTAAAATTAATGTTTTGGTAGTTTTGGTGATATATGAGTTATATTTTAAATACTACTTGAAGTTCATAATTTATCTTCTTTCTGTTACAGCATCAAACACTTGGCTTGTTCCGGACACTAAAGGAGCTATTGTACAAGGTGGATATGGCCATACCAGTGTATATGATGAAATAACAAAGTCCATTTATGTTCATGGAGGCTACAAAGCATTACCAGGCAACAAATACGGATTGGTGGATGATCTTTATAAGTATGAAGTTAACACAAAAACTTGGTGAGTGTACAAAATAACACATTTTCTATGTTGTACCATTATTGTGAATGATCAATTTTAAAATGCTTTCTGATCTTGTAGAAATACTTACTTTATATGCATTATTTATCTTATAAGTGCAGATATAATGTTCATTTCAGATGAGGAATTTTGTTTACTAATATAACTTTGAGCTTAATATCATCTGTCCTGGAATTTGTTCATTTTTACACTCATATATTTATTGTCATTTGTAAATTTACAAAACATTTCTTCAGTTTCATCATCTAACTTCCTGTGAACTACAAAGCAAAGCTTATGATATTTAGGTAGATTTTCATTTTTTGTTGTTGTAAACAATGCAACATTGCACAGCTTGTACTCCTCTTCTTATGCACACATGCAAGAGTTTCTCTGGGTGTATACTTAAAAGTGACATTGTTGCTTCTGGGTGTATTCACATCCTCAACTTTATTACATGTTGCTGACTTGCTTTTCTGTATACTTCCACCAGCAGGGTATGAATGTCCCTGATTCTTCATGTTCTCACAAACACTTGATAATTGCAAGAATTTTTCTTTTGTCAATGTGATGGGTGTGAATAATATCTTACTGATATTTTAATGTGCATTTTCCTGATTACTATTATGAGGAAGCATTTTAATGTGTTCATTGCCACTGTTTCCTGTTAAATGAATTACTTATTCATATTTATAATATTCTCTTCATATTTGAAATATTATTAATATTTCTTTTATTGATTTTCTGAGTAATAAAAGTTTTGAAATAGAATTTTTGTTGTCCTCATTTCTCTTTGTAAAATCTGGGAAATAACTTTTTTGTTTGTTTGTTTTAAGACACTATACATTCCTTTAGACTTCTAGCATGAAGTTACTTTTTGTGTTTAAAGGAAATACATATTTTTCTACCAAATCATGATTTGTTCTACCCACTTCATTTTCAATTATATATGCTAAATTCTATTTTCTTTGATAAAAAGATGAAATTATAAGACTTTTTTTTCTTTTGGTGATTTTGTTAATTCTCATTTTAAAATTCTAATAAAATACAGTTTCATTATTTGTATTTTTATAAATACTAAAATAGATAAATCAATTCTTTATATAACTTATAAACTGCTTCTTATTTCCTATTTAATATTTCTAAATTTTTCTCTTTGACATTTTGTTATGTTACCAAGAAGAATTGTGGTATAATGATTAAGGTACTATCAGTCTGCTTCACATATTTTTCATATATTGTAAGTATTATATCATACAAAAAGAAGGAAGCAACATAATTCACAGTAATAATAATGAGTATAGCACATGGAGGAAGAATCTTAACAGAAGTGGATGGGTAAGAGAACAGAACTGGGTATTATTTGAATAGAGTCAAAACGAGAGATTTAGTTGTTGCTCACCACTTGAATGAAATTTTCTCAGGTATTACGTGTTTTTCTACCGGAAAACTTTGTATAGTGAAAGTTTGCATAGAAGAATATATTTATCAACTTTGGCAGTTTTAAAATGTAAACAACTGACATTGGATATTTATATCACATGAAAATTTAATTAAATAGTTGATAAATTATTTTGAGCACCTCATTATAAATATGTTGTAGATATGTATGATGATTTAATATTTTAATAGATCTTGAATTTTTTAAAAAAACACTAACTTATAAGTGAGCAAGCACTACGTTGATTTTTTCCTTAAAGTTTGTAGCATTATCCTTATCCTTAAAGTTTGTAGCATTCTTAAAGTTTTGATCATTTTTGTTACATTATTTGTCAGGTTTGGTATTCTGTATTGATTATACTGTGTTTATTTGTCAAATTTTATGCAATTTTAATATGTCACTATTATGCATCTATTATATAGACTGATTTTTTTTTAACCACTTCAGAACTGGTTTCATTTTTTAGTACATATGATATAAGTGGCCTACATAGATAGGCCACTTTGTTGAAATACTGGGAGATGTTTGTTTGGAGGAATTATTCTTTTTCAATGGTGAAATGAATTATTTTGGACTAACTTTCACTGAGAAAAATTACGAATTTTATCTATTTGAAGACAGTGAGGATTTATGAAGATTTAGGAGAGGTATAATGTCAAGTTATACGAGACTAGTATTTCATGCAATTTTTATCCTTGAAACAGCTAGAAATCCTGAAAATTGCCTGAGAAACTGACCGGTACTTTTGTCAGTCACTATGGAGGAACAAAATTGGATTTCCAGGTGTGCCAGGGAAGAGGAACCTTAGTACATTCTTAAGGATTGAGTCTGGTTCCTGAAGTCCTAAACCCTACTAGTGAGGATTAGCCCACCTGTGAAGAATCACAAACTTTTGTAAGATTGTGACCATCTGCCCATAGTCTAGCTAGATAGCAAAAGCAAAAGTAAATATCATTACAAAACCTCAAATTTTTTCTTCTATATATCATATGCAATATCTGTCATGAACTAAAGAAAATAGGTTTAGAAAAAGATAAAATATGAAAAACAACCTTAGAAATACACATATAAAATAATGAAGTTTTTTAGACACAAAATTTAAAATATTTATGATTGTATGCTCACAGAATCAAAATTTAAAGTAAAGAATATTAGCAGGGAACTGCAAACTCTTACTAAAGAATCAAATAGAAATTCTAAAACTGAAAAATACATTAAATGAATTAAGAATTCTTTAGGTGGGTTTAACAGCAGATTAGACATAGCTGAAGAGGAAATCAGTGAAATGGAAGATATGTTAGAAGGAAATATCCAGACTGACGAAATGAAAGAGAAAAGGATGAAAATTAAAAGAGAGAAAGAGGTACAAGGGAGATGTAGAAATTGTCTTATACACATGTAATTAATTGGAGTCCTAGAAGGAGAGGAGTGAGAGAATAATCTAGAGCACTATTTGAAATGGTAATGAATGATAAATTTTAAAAAGTTACCAAAGACCTTAAGGCTCAGATAGAGGAATTTCCATGAGCACCACAGTGCATAAGTATACATAAAGTCACACTTAGAGATATGATAGTAAAACTTATGAAACTAAAAACTTATGAAAACTAAAGCATGAAGAGAAAAAATTTAAAGTAGCTAGAGGAAAAAAAAGGCATATTTTCTTTAAAGGAGCAGCATTAAGACTGATGACTAATTTTTTAGTTGAAAAAGTCTAATCCAGCAAACATAAATGTTTTCAGGGAGCTTAAAGGCAATAATCATCAGCTTAAAATTCTACACTCAGTGAAATAGCCTTAAAATGTATGAAAAATGAGGATATTTTCAGAAAAACAGGAACTGAATTTAACAACAGACTTTCAATTGAGGAAATACAATTACAATAAATGCTTTTGAAGTAGCAGAAAAATGATCCCAGATACTCTATGGAATGTAGAGAAATGAAAGGGATAAATCTAAATGATTATTATAAAAACTATGATAATAGTAGAGGATTGAACATATACAAAATTTAAATGAGTAGCAATAATAGCACATAAGTCAGAAAGAGTGACAAATGAGTGTTAAAACATACTAAAATCCTTGTATCATGTGAGAATTGATAAAAAATTTATTAATATTACACAATAATAAAAGATTTATGTTGTAATCATTAGGTAACAACTAAAATAATAGTAAAGCACTGTGTATCTAAGAAACTAATAGGGAGAAAAATGAGCATAGTAAATAAAATAGTAAATGGTACTTACTGGATCTGGAAGAAGATAAGAAATGAATAGAAAAGGAACAAAGAATGGTGTGACAAATAGAAAGGAAATAGTAGGTTGATGTATTTCACTCCAAATATATCAATAATTACACTTAATGTAAGGAAATAAATATTCCACTTATACTAAATGTAAGAGATTAAATATTGTAATTAAAAGCCACAGGTTTTTGGATTGGATATGAAAATAAGACTTAGCTATCTGATGCTTAGAAAAATATACAGTAAATATTTAGAAAAGTTGAAAGTACAATGATAGAAGATATATCATGCAATCACTAAACAAAAGAAGGTTATTATAGTTATATACTAATACCAGACAAATAAGAATTTAAGTCAGGCATCTACCTGGGAAGATATAATAGTTCTGAACTTATATGTACCTTATAATACAATGTTAAAATAAAGAAAGAAAAAAATTGAAGATTAAAAGAGGACAGATAATAGTGAGATATTTTTAACTCATTTCTCTTGGTATGTGATACCAAGAGACCAAAAGACCAGTAAGGATGTAAAAGATTTGCACAGCATAATCAACAGTTTTGTCTTATTTGATATTTGAGAACATAGTACCTTATAACTGAAGCATATACATCATTTCCAAGTATAAAGGAACTTTTCCAGAATTTACCATATGCTGGGTTTTAATGCAACTCTCACCAAATATAAAAGGATTGAAATCATACAAATTAATTGACCACAGTGAAATGAATACAAAAGTAATGTTTTGGTGATTAAACAAAAGTAGTCAAAGCAACCTTAATATAGGAATTAATAAACTCTTTAAAAATAATTGGTCAAAGAAATTATACTGAAAATTAGAAAATATTTTGTACTGAATGATGATACATCAAAATATGTATGATGCAGCTAAGAGGGACATTTATAGCTTTAAGTGCATTCATTAGAAAAGAAAGCCTGAAAACCGGTAGTCTAAGCATCCTCTCAAGAAGATAAAGAACAGCAGATTAATCCCAAGAAAAGATAAAGAAATTAAGATATAATAAAGGAAAGGAATATTAGATAAGAGCACAAATTAATGTAATAGAGACAAACATATGACAGAGATAATCCATTAAGCCACCCCAAATCAATAAATTTGGTTGTTTATAAAGTGTAATAAAATAGATAAATCACCACCCAGACTAAGAAACAAAGATTATACTTAAATAACCCATATCTAGAATGAAAAGGAATATCACTATAGATTGTATGGACATTAAAAGTTAATAAGCATATGATAAGCAATTATATGACAATAAATTAAAAAATTATATAAACCATAATAAATTT